TGCCACGTTTTTGGGTACGTCCGCTTTGCGTGTGGTGGCGACAGCTATCGTGCCGAAGGGTAGCCCCTGTGTCAAGTCTCGCTGGGCCCTATCAGTCAGGAGACGGGCCATGACCGCAGCGCACCCTACGCGCTGCGATAGCCCACCTTGCCGGGGTACGTTCACTTTGCGCGTTGCGACTGAAGTTGCTCCGCCAGAGGGTAGTCCCTTTGTCGGGCCTCCCTGGCTTGTATGCCGGGAGGCAGGCCGCGTCTGTTGGGCGCCTGGCGCCGAACGGTGGCCCCCTTGCCAGGGCATGGCCGTCTGCCCGAAACAAATCTTCCCCCCACACAACCCTGGGGGGAGGTGGAGCCGGGACAGACGTAGGATGATGATGGGTTGATGAGTTAAGTGTGACTCTGGGACAAAGCGTTTCGGCGCCGCGTCTCCTTCCTATCTGACAACGGCTCCTTAGCTGATCGGACGCGTGCGGGTCTAGCGGCGCTCGTTTTCCTTTGTTCGGACGAGCGTTTGTCTTTTTCAGAATCACACGACTTGGCAGGCGGTAACCCGGCGGGCGCCCGCACCGGATTCTCGTCGGCATCTAGCACGTTTTGGTGAGGTTTTTTCTCCCGCTTTGGGAGCTTTTTTTTTTCTCTGAATAGGCTAGTTTTACTTTGATTTTTCTTGGTAGGCTAGCCAGCATCTAAGCCCAACGCCGCGTGGTACGCTTGCCGCGATGGGGGACCCTTCGCGTCTGAGGCCCATGACCTTTTCTGGTCGTGTGCCTAGAGGTGTCCGCGAAATTGACATATGCCAATATTTGCTCACGCGCTTCCAGGTCGAAGATGTGGCTTGCGTGCAGAACTTTGGGAGGAGAAAGTTCGAGATAACCTTCCGCAACGATGATGCAGTGAGGCGGTTCAAAGCTTGGCCTGAAGTATACGTTGGAAGAAAGTCTCGAAGTTTCGCTACCTGAGCTCGCGTACGTAGACAGCGAGTTTTCGGCTAGCCGGAGGATTATCAGGACGAGCACCTGGTGCGTGAACTCGTGGGCTTTGGGGAGGTACACTGTCGCTCTCTATAAAAGAGAACACGCAATCGCATGACTGCTCTCTACAACGTCTGCCTACAGTATCTTGCAGCGCTTGTCCAGCGGCCATAACTCTTTGTTTTCTTTGCCAATAAATGACGCCAAAAGCCAACGTCTTTTCTTTTGCTGTCGATTGATGAACCATCATCAATCGACAGCAAATCCGGTAGGATGGCGCCGCAGGCCACGCGCTCACGTGTTGCCTATCATAAAGGACTACAATGTACTTGAGATCAGAAAAGAGCGTGCTCGGTTGCGTATTTAGAAATTCTGGCCCCGCATCGCACGGAAGAGAGAAAAGAAAGAGTGCGAGGAGGACGCCTGCGTCAGGATTGCTCGCACGCTATTGGTTACATTCTGTAGGCGACGCGCACGCCTGTAGGTACGTAGAACTTCTACATACCTACAGGCGTGCACTTCTAAGAAGTGACGCAAGCACGCACCCGCGATTTGAATGCGCGGAAGTTGCTGGCTGTTCCATCGTACGGATGCACCCACAACCTGTTGCAACACTTTTTCTACCTTTCCCTTCTGCCATTCTGTGCCCATCTTTCCTTCTCCGTGTAGGAGCTGAGCTGAACCATTGATTTAATAGATATGTGGGGTTTAGCATCCCAATACCACCATATGATTATGAGACACGCGGTATTGGAGGGCTCCGGAAATTTCGACCACCTGGGGTTCTTTAACGTGCACCCAAACCTGAGCACATGGGCCTACCGCATTTCCGCTTCCATTGGAAATGCAGTGAGCTGAACCATGCTACCCGCAAAGTTGCAAAAGAGTTGCATCGCGCTTCTGTCCCACACCAGGCCAGTAGCAACTACCCTTGCAGAAACGCGATTCCAACTATCGTGGCAGACGCTCACGGCTGAATTAGACGCCAGCACATCAAACGTGAAGCGCGTTTCGGTCAACGACGCAGTACTGAATGACATGGCAGCCGCACGCACATTTACGTGCGAAATAGACCCCAGTTCGGCAGGCCAATATGACATGAAGTGCCTCTGCGTCGACCTCTGCACAGACGGCGATGCGCACGAGTGGGTCGCCAGCTACAGCAAGGCAACTAATACGATGTGGATCATCGATAAGGAAATCAGAAATCCAAAAAGGTATGTTTGCAAAATTTTCATGTCTGTTTCTTCTACAAGTGGCTAGTAGACTGGTTTGAAACGCATGTGGGCTTATTTACTTACAGGACAGATATGCTGCATGCTTGCTCATTGTATCGAAAGATAAGACGCTGTGTTTGCCATTGAAATCTACCATAATATTGCGCACTACTTTGCAGAAGTTGCTGTTTTTCATCAGCCGAATGATTGCTGCGGCTTGTTCTGGAGAAACATACCTGTATTCTTCAAGGCCATCACTGCTGCTGTTTGATAAAATAGTTATATGCTGAGCGTTGAATCATTGATCAGATGAGTTCGTTTCCAGCACATTTATAAGTTGCTGCCATGTTTCATATTGCAAGGAATACAAAGTTAATGTATGAATTATCACGAGGACTCTGGTTAACACTAGCAAGTCCCGCATGCCGCACAAGTGTCTCGTTAATATTGTGTTTACCTTTGTAATACGAGAGCTTTATGCCTGCAAGCCTTGCATCAATGTTCAAGATGCTCGTTCCAAACACGGTGTGTAGCCAGCTTCAGGTTGTTGTCTTATGTGCGTAAAAGCATCCATAGATGTTATATTGGTGCTTAGGTACAGAGACAACTCGGAACACTGCTAGTTGCTTTTCTAGGTAGTGAATAAGAATGACTTAAGTAAGGTCAATGGTACAAATGGAGAGATGACAACCATGCCATATAAGCAGTTATACAAAGCGAAGCAGACAAAATAAATAAAGGTGCTGCACTTTACAAAACCAGAAGAATCCTCGGCGACTACAAATAATTTATTTTTTAAAGGATGGTGTTTCACAAGAAGTGGAAACGTCAACACAGCAGTCGCAACAAGACCGCTGGCCTCTACTCAATCGCATGTACATCATTTGTAGACATCAAGATCAAGACTTTGACACCAAGCACAGAAAGGACCGATTCCCTTTTGAAAGGAAGCATCCTTTGTGTGCCATTGTTCTGTTGAGGAAAGAGCATAATCACCAACACAACTCTGCTGATGCACTGCGCCACCTACGGAGCTCTGCAGACGAACGGTAGGCCTTCCAAAGTTATTTCAAAGATGGATTGACACCATCTTCAGCTTCACCAGATGAAGCTTGTAGCTGAAGATGATAGTGTACGAATGCTGGCAAATGGAGCATTGAACCCATCACCCAACACTGTCTACTACTGGTTTAAGGTGTGGCGCAAGGACCATTATGGTGATACAGTGGACCCACTGAGCAAGCTGCATGAAAAGGCACCATTGTGTCATCAAAATTGTGAGTTTAAGGATATTGTAGATTGTACTTATCACGATCTAGAAGTCTTGATAATGCTGTTTCAAATTTAATTGGCTTGTTTTGCTGTTGCTTGTTCATGTCACGCATGTGCGGGGGGAGTGATCACTGACGCACTACCACCGGACATTGTGAACCACGTAGGCTCGCCCGATCACGAGGTGCAGCTGAACACCATCCAGCGGCTTGACACGGCCCTGAATCGGCAAAAGCAAACAGAGCAAACTCCTAGTAGCTCGCGCTAGGCCTGCCGTCGTTGAGGTCTAGATAGACAGGTGGGTGCAAACCCTGCGCGATGCTCTCACCTTCCCCACTCAGGATTGCCCAATCAAGTCTATTTCTCTCTCTCTTCATGTCGTTCTTTGCATCACATGTAGCCGAGATGGATCAAAGAAAAATTCAGGCAGCTGCACATTAGCGGTGCAAAAGCTGAGACGGGTCAGGATGCCAGCGGAGCTGGTGTCCTTGCCCGTCTCCTGACCCTCTCTTCTTTTTCCTACCCCTTGGTGTACTGTACTATACGCAGATATGTTATGCTCCACCCACTTTATTCCTCCTTTATTGCAAGCTTATGTCACACGCTATCACCCTCAGTTTCCTTTTCAAGTACTCCATGTGTTCGATACCTGCTGGTTGCAAGTTATCTTTTCGACCTTTATTTCTTCACATTTACATTACAATAACTTCTAATAACATCCCCTATACTCTCTACACATGAATCATTGTCTTTTAGCCCTAATTAGTATTGTGTCTAACAAATAAAATGAGCCCTTTAATTTAAACTTCTTTCCTTTATGCATGGCTATGCAATGCTTTAACCTCTCCCATGCTCTCTTCACTCATCCTCACACACTGCTCATTCACACCCACTTATACGCTACATCGTACTTATAGATGCAGTGGAAGAGTGGGCGCTGAACACACACGTAGTGAAACCTATGGAATTTCATATTAATACCATGTAGCACAACCAAGAACTCAAACAGCTCGACTGTTTTTAAAAAAAGAATGCCATTATAACTCGCCACGTTCTGGTTTTACTGTCTGTAGTCGGCTGAAGACTCGTCTGAAATGGCGGCAAATTTTCACGGCAGTTAGGGGCCCTTTGTATCTGGAAAAGAGGTGCGGTGGAGACTGCATTTGGCATTTTACTATTGTATTTAATTGAAATGACATGAAGCTGTGTGACGTGATGCTGGGAATTTTCAACATCGCCTGCTGTGCACATGTGCATTTGGAGTCATTTTGCGCACTGATATGTGTATATATATATATATAACTCAAGCTTGATGCACATTCAGTTTCTTTCCCCCCCTTCTTTTCATGTCTTCCTCTGGTTGCGGCACTAATTCACCACTTTTGCCTGTAATACTATTGTGTCTCTTGTCTTAGCTTTGATTTCACGGGGCAAGAAGCTGTTAATAAGGCATGCAGCATTATAGAAGTCACTAAAGGAATGTATCAACTCTGGCTTTTGGTTTTTTACCTTCTCACTTGTAACATTTTGCAGGTGTCAGCATTTGGAGAACCAAATTGAAGGATGGCAGCTACTGGGCGGTGTTGGTTGTTACAGAAATTATGCAGCGGACGCAAGCATTAGAATCCGCAAGCGAGATTATATTTTTGGAATCAACAGCCTCCTGCTATGAATCACATGCTACCATTACAGTAGTGCTTACTCCTACTCCTGTTAGAGCATTGCCCATTGCTGTGCTTATGCACAACTGCCAGACGACAGAGAGCTACAAGACTGCCTTCGGCCTCTTGAGACAGAAATATCCTCTCTGTTTTGGTGGCCTACAAGTAAGGAAGCTATAACTTTTAAGGTTTAGCAAATATATTGTGACAACCTAACCTATTCAAAGGATTAGTGAAAGTTCTTAGTGAAAAGAGGCAATTATACATTTTGTCTTAAAATGCTATGTAGTTGGGGTATTATTTGATTGTTTTGTGTAATAACGCAGTTTTGAAATATATACTCACAAAAACACACTTTATATTGACACTTATTATTTTAGTGCAAATGATTCACATGTTCCTTTTATGCTATTCAGTTTGATAATTTCTGACAGACTAATAAGCTTAAAATAGATAGTGTAGCCCATAAGCATAATAGCAAAATACAATAACCATCCTTACAATCATACCTGCTAATTGTGCTTTGAGGTGCTGTCTATTTACAAAAGCACTAGGGCCGTGAAAACATATCTTAATTTGGAGAAATGAGGGGTTAAGGGGCTTGCATGCTTCTGTAAGATCAAATTACAGTAAAATACCACTTAAACAAACATCAGTTATACGCATCTTTTTAAGTTCTCTATCGGAGTACTATTTTTCACAGTGCTAATGCATTTCAATTTAATCAAAATTAATGCAGATAATTTTAATTCCACTAGCGTATGTCACACTGTCCTATGTGTCTCGTCATAATGTTAAAATTATCAGTAAGACTGGGTAGAGGCAGTGCTTTGCGTTTTGAGGACTATGTGCCACTTAATGTATGGAAGAGATTGTAGAAAGTGTTTTACCTCTACCTTGGTGGTAAAAGAGGAGGAAGTAGTAACCATTGTAGAGAAAGCACCAAAGATTTCAGCTGAATAAGCACTGATTTACTTGGATACAGTGAAGTCCTTTGCTGCCCAGTAGAGTGTTGTACTGCATACAGCTTCCGAGATTGGACACAGTGACTCGATTCATGACCACACCATTCCGAAGTGCAGAAATTCAGCAGAAAGTTACTGCATTTTTCAAAACATGTAAGATAAGAAGAAATGGTCATTCAGATAAGCAGCATTGCAATTAATATAGTTTAAATTTATTTAAATAAAAAATGTTTTCATTCATCATTTCATCTGCTTTTTCAGCTTATCTTTTCCACTATTGTTTTCTTCGTGGATTGTACATGACGGAGTCCTTTTCAAAGTTGTGAAACTAGTCATAAACTTAGTTCAGTTAACTGCTATAAAAATGATAATAGATACTTCTAAACACTGAATATAAAAAAATGCGATTGTATGACAAGGCTGAGTGTTCAGTGGGCTGGACTCGGTGATTCTAGGACTGGGTCAACTGTGCTAAAGTGTGCCAAATTGGATTTACTCAACCATTCCTGATAATATCAACTATAATTGTTCCAGACTATGCCACAGTATTACAAATGCACTGGCAGTGCATCAAAACATGCGCAGCTTAATCATAGGGCCACCAAAGTCAGAATCGTGCACAATAAATTATACCGCCTAGTAAAGAACATTCACACCTGCTTCTCGTGTAAGCCACGGTGACATACTCATTGCTGACACAGCTTCTGTCGCACAAGGCGGCTTGACAGCAAAATAAACTTTGTGACAGAATCATGACTTCTAGACTTAATGGCAGCAAGGTCTGGCGGTGATTCATGAGCACTCAATGTTTGTTCCCGAGATGCTGCCATTAGCTCGTTTAGAGCGTAACATGCCCCGTACTCAGTAGTACCTGCATGCATGTAGGCCAAATTTCCATCACAAGTTGTACTTCTACTAATCGCCGAAAAGATCACTCCTGAGTCCTCACTGAACTGCATGGCACCCTTATTTGAACACTATCATGAGAAATATGCATTGTTCTGGAGATCATTCTTTCAATTAGGTTTCCAATGCACTGGGATATATTTGTAGCTGTGCATAATGGCCCCATTATAATTATTCAGATGCTTGACTGTAAATGTAAATTGCTTTTCCAGTGTACCCCTGGATGTGAAACTAGCTGTTCCACTCGGAAGGATGTTGCCAATTTAATTGAATTTCTTAAGATTTCCACCTGGTCGGGAACTGACTGCACTAATATGCTCGTGCACTGAGGCTGGGTGAAGCCGGAATGCAGTATGTTGTCGACCACTTTAAAGAATTTACGGCTTCAGTCTGTCAGCGGTTGACGCGGTGCGCTATGCAATAAAATTACACCACGTAGTAGACAATCTGCTATGTCTGCAGTGCAGCTTATCTCCTATGTCTGTATAGCAGCTTGTTGGCAGAGCTTGTGTAATTGCATAGCGGGTTGTGTGACCACGAGCAACCACAACCCACTTGTTCTGGAAGCAGATGTGGGAAAGGGACCGAGAAAGCCCAAACCGACATAAGAGAAGGGTGCTGATAGGATGTCCAAATTTGAATTTTACAAAAAGTCCTGTCTGTGTGTTTTGTGCAGTGTTCAGCAAAGTTGATTGCATGGGTGTTTCAACTACTGCGTAAGCGCTATGCACTGCCTGAAATTGCCACCGATTTTTGTGCTGTTGATCAGCACTTGAATGCCCTTTGTGATACAGAAGTTACCAACATCTTCTGCAGATTCAGTGGTAAGATTTGTTGATTCTGCTGTTTTGTCCCTCTTGCATTAGTGGTGTACATTGCTTCATGCCTGATGACACGCCAGTGAGTGTGTTAAGTGGCCATTACTGCTTGGTCGTTTCTGATAGTTTATGGCAGTAATCATCGTCAGAAGTAAAGCTGTAATTAATTAATCCAGCTGATGAAAAAACTCATAAGTTGCATTAAAACGTGAAAAATGAAAGAAATGGGACTACAATTAGATTTTCGCTCAACTCATTATTGAAGAACTACTTTACGTGCTGGTGCATTCATAGAGGCTTCTTTTCAAGTGCTGCCTGTAAGCACAAAGCAGTCTGCCATGATGTCTTGCTAACGCAGCGACACCATTGCTGAAAGGAGGGTCCTTTGACGGTGAAAGGTCACACTGCTCTCGTCTTGTAACCAAGTATGATAAGTACTCAAAACAGGGCCCCCAAATCTATTTCTTGTAATTAGGACCCTTATGCCATAGTAACCCAAATGAAGCTTGATATCCATTCCCAGAAATTTGATATTTCATTCATTTCATTTATTTTCTCTCAATGCACAAGGCGTTACAGAGACGAGTGGTGGAAAAACAAGTAACAATCTGTACAAACAAATGGAGCATGTTTAATAAGGGTATGCGTTTATGGTACTCTTGAAGTTGGCCGGGTTGCCCCGCCGCGGTGGTCTAGTGGCTAAGGTACTCGGCTGCTGACCCGCAGGTCGCGGGTTCGATTCCCGGCTGCGGCGGCTGCATTTCCGATGGAGGCGGAAATGTTGTAGGCCCGTGTGCTCAGATTTGGGCGCACGTTAAAGAACCCCAGGTGGTCGAAATTTCCGGAGCCCTCCACTACGGCGTCTCTCATAATCATATGGTGGTTTTGGGACGTTAAACACCACAAATCAATCAAGTTGGCCGGGTCAGTGATAGATGCGATGGAAGCGGGAAGGTGATTCCAGTCCGTGCTTGTTTTGTGCACGAATGAATTAAATGGAGGTTTGTACGGCTGCTTGTAATTCCAACTTTGAAGTGGTGATCGCTGCGGGATGAAATGTAGGATGGCGGCAAAAAAAGTGAGTTACTCAGTAGTGCATGGTATGGTACAACTTGTGGAAGAGGTACAAGCGCGAGATTTTGCGGCGAAATGTTAGGCTAGGTAGATTTAAGGTTGACTTCATATGGGTTACGCTTGCTGTACGGGAATAGTTCGACAAAATGAAACGAGCGGCGCGATTTTGAATTACTTCGATGCTACTGATATGGATGTTTACGTGGGGATCCCATACAGATAATGAATATTCTAGCTTTGGTCGGACTAATGTTTTATAGAGCAGAAGTTTCAGTTGCATCGGGGCAAGGAAGAAGTTACGGCGTAAATAACCAAGTGTGCGGTTAGCATTGTTTTTAATAAGGTCAATGTTAGACTGCCAGGAAAGGTTGTCAGAAATTATAACGCCAAGGCACTTGCAAGAGCTAACTTTAGTAAGGGGAGAATTATTAAGTACGTAGTTAGTAGAAATATTACATGTTCGACGTGAAACTCTCATTACCTTGCATTTAGTAACATTAGGTTCATTAGCCAAGTATTGCACCAAGATGAAACATTGTCTAAGTCGCACTGAAGGGCAAGGTGGTCAGAAGGGGTTTTAATTTCGCGGTAAATAACACAATAATCGGCGAAAAGTTTAATAGAAGAGATGTTATGTGGCAAATCGTTAATGTAAATCAGGAAGAGTAGTGGGCCAAGAACGGATCCTTGGGGGACGCCAGAGGTTACGGGTGAGAGGGGGGAGTTAGATTCATTCGCAGTTACAAATTGGGAGCGGTCTATTAGAAAGCGTTCAATCCATTTTAATATGTTAGCATCAAGATTAAGTTTGCTTAGTTTTAGCAGTAGCAGTTTATGGCATACAGTGTCAAAAGCTTTAGCAAAGTCGAGAAAAATACAGTCAACAAGGGAAGAAGCGTCAATGGCAATAAAAAGGTCATTAGTAAAGCAGAGAAGTTGGGTCTCACACGAGTACTGTTTCCGGAATCCATGCTGGTGATCACTAAGGAACGAGTTGTTTTCTAAAAAAGTGATTATGTGGGAGTAGATGACGTGTTCCATGAGCTTACACGGTATACTTGTTAACGATATGGGCCTGTAATTGCGGGGGTTATGAACGTCACCTGATTTGTGAAGAGTAACCACCTTTCCCGCTTTCCAGTCACCCGGGAGGCAATGACATTCCAAAGACTGTGTGAAAAGCTTATATAAAATGACAGATGAGTAAACAGAGGTATTATGCAAAAACTTTGCACAGATACCATCTTCACCTGGAGCACTGGCTAATTTCATTTTTTCTATCAATTTTTGTATGCCGACACAGTCAAATAAAAGGGGTTCCATGGGAACAAAGTTGCGGGTGGGGGTATCGGGAAAGGAAAGTGCTGTAGGTTTAACAAAGCACGATGGAAACACAGAGCTTAAAATGACACAACACCCTTCTTTTGGTACATGGCTGTTATCATCATGGATTAGTTCTATCGCCTTTTTTCATTTCCCCTAATCATCTGCCAAAAATTTCTGTGGGTTAGTTGCAAGCAGGGAGGGAAGCGTTTGTTGATAATAATTTTCTTTTGCAACGGATAATGCGCTAGTGTACTCGTCAGCTGCGTGATGATAAGCGGACCACCTTTCCGCGTTGTTAGTTAGCTTTGCCCTTCGAAAAATTCGTTTCTTTTTATTCAGTAGTCGTTTTAGTGTAAGCGTGAACCAAGGGGACTTTGCGTTTTGCCTAATTCTGCGGAGTGGAATAAAACGATTGGTAAGTTCTGCTACCTTCTGCTTAAACAAATTCCAGTTTTGTTGCACGGACCTTTCCAGAAATTGCGAAAGGTAATCGTTTAGAAAAAGCTGAAGCTCATTATTAATTGAAACATAGTCGGCTCTTTTGTAGTCCCTAAAAACTTTTGAGCTATCATTTCTTTTAGATAGCTAGATGGTCGCGTACGCCCGGAATAACTGATAGGGATTTAATTAGGTCGGGATGCGTGGTCAGCACCAAGTCTAGAACTGAGGAGGTGGACAAGGTAATGCGGGTTGGAGCATTGACCAGCTGGGTAAGGTTAGTCTGAACACACATCGAGAAAGGCAGCACTGTCAGCAGAAGTTGATGAAATTATTGGGAAAGGGGAGACCACGAAACATTAGGGAAGTTAGTCACCTAGGAGAAACATAGGCGCAGCCGGAAACCTTACTCGCAACTTATTTAGTACGTCGTGTAATTCATTTGCGAAACCGGTAGTAAGGTTAGGAGGCCGGTAGCAGCCACAAACAACGATATCTTTGTGGTTAATGCGAACACACGCGGCAACAATTTCAAGCGGTGAAACAACAGGCACGCTGAACGAGCTACTCTCGTCGCTAATGGTAATCAATACGCCGCCCCCGCACCTCGTACCCCGGTCACAGCGGTAGAATTTAAACTTTTTTGAACAGTTAAATCTTTCGTTATTTTCAATTTCCGCGGACAGCCAAGTTTCAGTTACTACGACGACATCAGCTAGACATGTATCTATTAGCGCAGATAGGGCATCACGCTTGTTAGGAACACTTTGAGAATTACATAGCAAAAAAGAAAATTCGTCAGCTTGAAAATGCTTATCTAGCTATCGATGTGAAGGAGGACTGCTGGCCCCTGCGCATTCTGCATTGCTTACTTCGGGAGCAACGTGGACGGGGTTATCATAAATAGGTCCTGCCTCAGTTACACGATCGGTGACCGGACAATAAACGTAGGCTTTCTTGTTGATTAGTATCTTGTTATACTTCAAGTAATATGGCTGCCCTGTGCTTTTCGCGAAGTTTAAAAGCTTTTTCTGGATGTAGCACGTGGCCTTGCAGAAATCTTCGCTAACTGACACGGGGGTGCTGCGAAGCATAGATTTCTTAGTAAAGACACTTTCTCTTGTTTTGAACGAACTGAAGCGAACAATAACAGGTCGACATTTGTTCTGTACATATGTTCCAAGCCTGTGTGCACGGGAGATGGCCTCATTAGGAAGTTCCAGTTTAAGGGACGCAGACAGGATTTCACGAATTTTTAGCTCCGACTCAGCCCAGGTTTCTGAAGCAGAATCCAATATCCCATAAAAAATTAGGTTCTTCCTACGAGAGCGATCCTCGAAGTCATCAAGCCGTGAACTGAGAGCGACACTTTCGTGTCGCACGGCAGCCGTTACAAGACCTTGTATCTGTGCATTGTCTGGAACGCTCTCGAGGGAAATAACCATCTGTTCAAGTACAGTTAGTCGGGTGGTTAAATCTGTTACTTTGGAATCAAGTAGCAACTGGTTTTCTTTAACTTCGTTAATAGTCTTCTGCAAGTTGTCATGACGCTCATCCAAGCCTTCGGTTAGTTTTCTGACGGCGGCTAATACTTCGCTATTCGGACCAGGATTCTGTTCAATATCCCCGCAAAGAAGAAGTTCCTTTACAACGACAAAACACTCTGCGACTATATCAAGCAACACATGTGGGCATGGAAGGAGCAGCAGACAATAGTTGCTAGATCGCTTAGCGCTATAATTTTGGGAGGGACCAGTACCTGTACGAAAAGCAAAAAGTGGTTGGATGAGACCATGGTGGCGGCCGCTCCGTTCCACTGCCCACTGAGGCGCACGGTGCAAGGCTGGCTGTATTTGTAGTTTTCTGGGTGGCTTGACGATGTCGATGCGGTTGGCTTGGTGGCAGCATAAAGGGTAACCGGAACGGGAGGTTGAAGTGGCACCGGGCAACAACGGCTCGGTTCGGGCTGGGGAGGGCACGTGCCGTATGGCGTGCCAGGCGCATGTGGTTCCACGCAGTCCGGCGAGCTCGTGCTGATGACTGCGAATAACTGTACGAACAGCAAAAAGTGGTTGGATGAGACCATGGTGGCGGCCGCTCTGTTCCACTGCCCACTGAGGCGCACGGTGCAAGGCTGGCTGTATTTGTAGTTTTCTGGGTGGCTTGAC